GCATGAATTGGTTGCTTTAAATCGAATTTGCCTTTTTCTCCTTGAATTTCTCCTTGTTTAAAGTTTTCAACCATGAAAATGGATTCAATCATTGCGAAAAGGTGAAAGAGGACTATAAGTTGTATTTGTATACATACAAATCCAAATAGGTGTGCACTCTTTTTCATGATGACCGAGTGCATGTGGCAACTACTGAGTATTTTTCATCTTACTTTTAGATCAATACTATAGTTGTGTATGCTTAGATTTTTTTTTAATCAAATCACACTGTTTATCGAACTGAGTTAGCTTATAAATTATTTTAATCACATTAATAAATTAGTTTAGAATCAAATTATATTTATAAATTAGCTTAGAAATAATTTAAAATTGGTTTCAAAATTAAATCAATTTTAAGAATTAAACCAGTTTTAATTATTTTTTAAAATTATGAAAAAAGTCATAATTAATATAATTTTTAGATAAATTAATTTTTTACTAGTTAAACATTTAATTTGAAGACTAATTAAGTAGATAAATATATTATAAAAGGTGAAAATTTATTTATTTTATTAAAAAACATTACACAAACGAACATATAAAGATTAACTCAAAAAATATTAAATAATTATAATTATAATGTAAAAAATTAATTATGAAACATGATTTGATAACTAATATTTTCTTTAATAATCTAAAGATAATCAAAAAATTAAAAAATAAAAATAAAAATAAAAACACAATGATGATGAGCAATACTTACACATTTTATATGTTATTAACAAATCTTAAATTACGATATATGAGAAACATAAGCAAATTATTATACTTAGTTTTATTTTATTATTTAAAAAATAGTTCACTAATGCACTGAAGTTAATTACTGATACAGTTCAATTTTGAAAATCCATCTTACGTAAATAATGTGGTTCGATTTTATTTAAATTAATTATAATTTTTTTAAATGATGCAATTCAATTTTAAACTTAAACCGATTCATTTTATTTTTTTCACACACGTGATCAGTACAATGTCCAAATACATAAATTAGGTCAAGAGCTGATTCTGATGTATACTCGAGTTTTTGACTATGTGAACTATAATGTAAGTTATCAATGAATCCATTCACTATA